TATTTTCGAAGAAAACATACATTTGTAGCAAGAATGATAGAAGATTTTTCTGGATCGCGCATTTGTGGTATCTGAATAAAACTAAGGACAGGAACAGTTTTGCCGGTTTGGTTACTTTTAACCAATTTTGGTTATTTTTTTCTTGCCTCTGAAGTTGTTAAGATCCTTCCCATTTTGGTTATTTTTAAACATTTACTGTAGTTATTAATTTTTTTATACATACAATAATTAAATCTTTGAAAAATAGTATAAAAAAATACATTTATTCTGCTCAATATGGTTATTTAAATAAAGTTATTACTACTAAAATGGCAACTCAAGATTCGACTTATTCCAATAATAATCACGTGTTTAGATATGCAAAAGAACATGTAAAAGTTCGAGGGTGCAACTATCGGTTCGTGTCTTTAATAAATCGTGGTGAATTAATCGCCAAGTTTTTGAAACGGCTCGGCAGTTACACCATTTCTATGTTCTTTGCACACACCTACATAGTAGGGGTCTTCATCTAAAGTGGTAAAGGGATAAATTATTTATCCGTAAAGGGATAAATTGTTTATTCCGCTTTCATGAACGCACATTGGTAAATAACTGCATAAAATTGTTTATTATTTAACTTATCTGGCTAGTTACGTTTCATTCTTACCTCGTCCATTTTGCTAATTTGCTTTTTATGTGTTCGTAGCAAAATCAACCACCTGGCAGTCTGTCAGGGTTGAATTTTGCTGAAATTTATACGTTTGTCCACCAAAATCGTTTGATAAAGTGATAAACTTTAGTTAAATAGATGTCCATACAAAGTTTGACTGTTCATTTATCAAAATGATAATTTTATCAAGTTTATCAACAGTTTATCACTTTTGATGAAGACCCCTGGTATGTACCTGAAATGACATTTGAATAATACGAGAGTCATTAAAAAGCCGCGAAAAATTATTAGAATTCCGCGCAAAATTGGTTCTTCAAGTTAATTTATACGGGCTCATTGCTATGGATAAGTGAACAAAGTGGTTTTATTTTGCATAATATGATTTCCAAAAAACTTTTAAATTAGGCTCGTTATAAGACATAGGCCATCTACACCTGTCGGGGTTGAGGAGAGTAGCCGCAACAGTGGAACCCTCATCAGTGAAACTAAGTGAGAATATTTGGAATGAATGTATTAATATGGCATACATATGTATGTATTTGTTTTATAATACACAGAATACATAACATAAATGGTCGGCTAAAGACTACTTTAAATAAATGGGTACTCAGATAGTACATATATAAATACCTGGTATATGCGGAATCCAATACCACGTCATGTATGTACAATACAAAAGGGATTTGGTTATTATTTTTCCATTACTGTTTACTTTATTAATTTAAGTTAAGATTAATAATAATAATCTTACAGCAAGTAGGTTCAAGGGAAATACCATTCCACAGTTTTGAAAAAATCGGTTTTTTGCGCTTTTGTAAAATTTATTTACCATCATATACGCGGTACTGCGTTTGGCGTATACGAGGTATTTCGCGCTGAGCGACGATATAGTTCAATACAGTCCAATTTTTAATTGTTTAATCTTAATTATAA